ACCAGGAGCACCAGCAACTTCAGCAACTACACCAGGAGCACCAGCAAAGCAAACAGCAGATGCCCAAGCTGCAAAGGACAAGAAACCGGAAACGCCTGGTAAAACCAAGATAAAACTCGAGTTGCTCTTCAGGGTCACTTTGACTGCCCTTAATGATGCAATTGTGACTATGCCTTAACATGCACTGATTCTTCTCCTTTTACTTATATCTTGGTTGACATCCTAGCCCATAAGTTGAGGAACATCTCAACATACTGCTTCAGTCTCATCTTTCTACCCTTCTTTTTTAGAAGGAATGCAGGAAATTATTTCTATCTGCAGGGGACTTGAGCAGTGACTCCTAGCATCTCAGGGAAATGTGACAAGTGAGAAATTAGTTAAAAATCAGAAATTAGTTCTGACAGAATGGGGGAGGTTGGAAGGCCGATTTTTCTTTGCAGTCATCTGGTCGTTAGCACTCTCCCTGAGAGCTCTTGAGGCCACTTGGGGGTTCATCTGTGCCCTCAAGGTCCAACTCAGAGGTGGTATTCAGCAGGTTCTGACCAGTTCTGGAGAACTGGTAGCAGAAATTTCGAGTAGTTCAGAGAACCAGAAAATACCACTTCTGACTGGAGATTTTACAGTATCCTTCCCGTGTCATGCCCACCAAGCCACGCCCGCAGAACCAGTAGTAAAAAAAATTGAATCCCACCACTGGTCCAATTCCTTCCCATCCTGTTGGAACTAATCCTTCCATCGCCCTCACCATCTTTCCATAACTGATGAAGCTTTTTGGATGAGAAGTGAAACATCTTCTTCTTCCTCCTCAAGGGGAAAAAAAAAACCAGTCCAGTTGGTTTTGAAAAAGCATCTTTGAACCCAACAACAGGTTGACAGAAATGTCCAAGCCTCCATCTGCATTATGTAACTGCAGCCACTCTTTTCTCTGCTTTGAATCTAAGCAAAAAGTAATAGAAATGATAAAGTATACTTGAATGCTGTCACCGTATATTTACACACCATATTTACACACCATTCAAAAGAGGCATTAAACAAGCAGTAAAGAAACAAAAAGACCAGAAAAATATCCTCTCTGGCAGCTAACACCCAAATAAGCAAGGATTAAGAGCAGAAAACAATACCCTAATCAAGGAGGTACCAAGGAGAAAGCCATCCACCTCCTCTTGTATCCCCCAACCCCACATAAACCTATCAAAATTGGCATGGCAAGCCACTGCATATAAACATGGAGCATTACTCACAGAGGTTGTTACCTAGTTGGGTAATGAAATATCTGTAAGCAAACAATCAAGTTCAGAGAGCACCAAGGGCTCCACATCTTGTAAACTGGTTATTTGAAGATCCACTTGCTACTGGTACATCCAGCAATGCTACAGCAAGGGTGGTTGGTAGTTAGTGTGTGCCCTGAGAATTGGAAGCTATCTCTAGCCACCAAGGTAAGATCGTCAGCCTGTCTAGAAACAGAGTAGGAGACTTGTAATAATGGTGTTATCCCTTAAAAATAGACCTAACAAATCCACATCTTGTAACTCAGTATTTCTTTTACTGTAGCCACTTGTGAGTCCAAACGGTCTTTCTTCCTCCCTCACTTTATCTCTCTGTGAACTAGGGATGGTCTGAGTCATTTACTCAAACCCAGTTGCTTCAAATGAGGTCAAGTCCCACTTATCTGATTGTTGCCTTGCTAGAGACTCTTCTTTCTGTCCTTTTAAGGTCATTCTCTGTGCCCTCTCCATCTATAAAGCTCTCTATAAGGCCTGGCTAACTGAGATACTCTATGTCTCCTTCAGGGTCTGGCCATTATATTCAATCTGACAGAGCTGGTATGCTTTGCGTCCCATCAATTAAAACAGTGTCATTCTCTGTTGTGGCCTTTATCCTCTGGAACTGCATATGTCCAGAGAGCGGCCTTGCCCCTATCATAGCCTTGTTGAAATGGGCTCTTAAATTATGCCATTTCCCCCAGGCCTTGTAGTAGATTGAGCAGTAGTCCCTTTGAGGGAATGAAGTATGTCTGAGAAGATGTCAGTTATTTTCTCTGGAAATCTATTGTATGTTTATCTATTGCTAATTTATTTTTAATATGTGCACCATGTAGAGTTGCTATGGATTCAGGCAGCCTTACAAATGTGATAAATAAATAATATTTCAGTTGATGTAGCATAAATAGCATTTCATTCTAAGGATTGGAGGGAGGTTTGCAAACACATCACTGCTGACTCAAATTTAGTTTGCAATGAACTAAGATTTTACAGCTTCCACTAAAATTCCTGATAAGCTCACATTCAATTCTAGATCTAGTTTAATCCTAGAAAGTTCTAAACTTATTTCTGGAATTGACAATTTAAGAAAGATTCAAAATGAAAAATTACTTCGTTCTATTTTTGGAAGAAATGTCAGTTAAGCAGTGTACAGTTTAGTTCATAAACATTTGAAAGAGCTCTTGTTTTATTTTGCAATCTCATCGCCAGATTTAGAACAACCATCCCCTGAGGAAACTGAAGCATCCCAAGAAGAAGCAGCTAATGCACTGAAAATAAAATTCATATGCAATTTGTTAAAACAATGCCCTCCGGGTGAATTTAAGAATGTTTTTGAAGACCTTCGCTTTCTGCTTTGTGATGATAAACTCATGAAGCAAGAGGTTGCTCAGGTGTGCACTAATCATTCCAAGAAAAATTTCACCACTGCAACCATAAAAGGAGACAATGTTCTGGTGACTCGCCATAATGACATGGGAGGTGATCGCTTCTTTGATCCACAGATCAAGCTTTCCTTCACATTCGATCCCCTGAATAGAAGAGCTGACAAAATTCTACTTTATTGTAATATTAGGAAAGATAAGGCAGAATTATGGAGAGAAACCCTTAATGTGACCTTGGAAGCATACATGAAGAGGCATTTCATTTCAGGAGTTTGTCGGGTCTACAGAAAAACAATTAAAAATAAACCATTTCTTGTGGTCTGCATGGAAAGCCACCAGAATAAGAAATTCTGGAACTTTCTCTGGAAATCAGAATGGATAATTGCAGTAACTCCACCTGCTTCAGAAGTCAGAGGGGACTTAAAAGTACAGTTGCATTATTTCAAAAAAGCTAATCTTCACTGGACAGCAAGTACTACTGCTGAAGGTTCCGTATATTTAATTCATCGGGACCAATTTGCCTTGGATTTTGAGAAATTTATTGAAGCCGAAGATAACAAATTTCAGATGGATTTGGTGAATAGCCTCTACAATTTGTCAAATGAAACATGGAGACTGTTTCGGAGAAGGCTCCCAGTTACTCGCACTTCAATCTCTTGGGATATACTGATGATGACTTAGAGAAAAGAGGCGAAGGCCCCTGGAAATGATGGATCATTATAGTTGCTGCAATGCCTCTGTGAATGAAATAATGACCAAATAAAACAACAGTTGTGTAGTACATTCCAAGTGATCTCTTTGATTTATTGCCTGTTGGTTCATGAAAACATGCAGTCCTTCACAATAAACAGTATCCAGGTCAGTGGGGTCTAGGTTAGTATTTGTACTTCATTTCTTTCTTTGAACATAAAGCAAAATATCAAGATCGTTTACAGAAGACAGGAGCTTCTTTAACATGGTGTTGTAGATAAAAGGGGAGTCTATATTTACATCTTAATAAAATAGGGAAAACAACCCTTATTAACACCATTCACTTCTTAAGAAAACAAAGGCTGGATTTATTGGATAGGAGTAAATTTTTTAAAAATCCCTATATTGATTTAAAAAAAAAGCTTTATTAAATCTTAAATACAGATGTGGTGTCAGCTTTGAATTGGCCTCATAATGTCACTATTCTAAATGGATTTTAAAAATAGAGAATGCCAATCAGTAAAATGTAGTAAAAACAGCTATTTCAAATAGGCAGTAAAATTAAAACAATCCCAAATTAAAATATTAATAAGTATCAAATTCCTATGGGGAAAATCATATTTTGTCTGGCATCCCAAGGATGATGAAGGCAGCTTTTCTAGGTGAAAACATAACAATATCCAAAACATTTTCACACCAACTATTATAGCACTTCAAGCAACTGAATATCTAGAGGCTCATATTACAGTTTCCTTCTGAGCCAGGGTCATTAAAAATACATTTTCAGGAATTATTTGAAGTATGTTTTGTATTAAAGTGTGGTGTTATCTTCTGTTATCTCTCTGCTGACCAGCAATTGATTTTTGACTGAATTTAAGGCATGCTAGGTGTTTCAGTTATTTTTATATAATGCTGAAAATTATATGAGAATTTTTAGCTGCAAATGAATTACTTCCATTTTGTTTTTGTCTTCCACATTCAGTGCTGGCTATTGGCAGAAAGCTCAATAATAAATTTCATTAAGTAAATACAATTCATGGACATTTAGGATAGGGCATAAATTTTAGAATTTAAACCCTAAGGTTTCAAAATCAAATCTTTGAAATTGGCTTCTTTGCCATACCTTCTTGATTAACCAAAACAGAAGATGTCCAAAGATTACCATATTGATTAATTGAATGATATAGACTTGATGCTTAGAGCTGTATCAGATTAAATAAGTAGCATCTAGCTTCCCAGGTCTTCTTCAAGAATAGGTATTTATGCATGAAATATTATTTTTATATATAGGAGCACTTGAACATCTATCATCTTACCTTTTCAGTAAGAATTTGGTTCATTGTAACACATATTAAAAATATTTTGTGATTTATCATAGAAAGTAGTGGAACATTTGAAAGACTTATTAATATCATTGGATGAACAATATTACATTCGCTAATCATATGCCTTGGATAACATGTATGTGAGGAACACACTGAGTACAGAGAGCAGACTACTAATCACAGAGATATTACAACAAGTTTTTCATGGCCCATTGTCATTTAGTTATCTTCATGGAATTATTACTCTTCTATTTGCAAATGGTTCTCATTAGCTTCAACATTAAAAAGCCATCTGTATGTATTTTGCAGCATGAAATTTCAAAGGTAGCAACGTTTCTCGAGAGGACTATTTCTGAATAGATGGAGTTAGGCTAAACTCAGTTCATCTCTAGCCAGCGCATCGGGACAAGGAAAATGTTCAGTAGTATGGAACAACAACCCTTCTGAAAATGGAATAATTTTGTTTAATCAGAACCAATGTTCTTTTACTCCTCAGCAAATACTGTATATACTCGAGTATAAGCCTAGTTTTTCAGCCCATTTTTTGTGCTGAAAAAATCCCCCTCGGCTTATACTCGAGTCAGATTCCCCTCTGAAAAAAAAATGGTGTGGAGTCACGGCCTCCGGCGGCAGCGACTCCCAACAGCCCCAGCCGGGAAGGGAAAGGCAAAAAGCGCTTTGCCTTTCCCTTCCCGAGGCGGCGGGACTGGGGCCGCGCCGGCGGTAGTGACTCCTGACTCAGGGGGCCTCTGAGGGAGGGGAAGAGAGTGACTCCTGCCTCCCGCTGTCATCATCATCTTCTTCTTTTGGGTTAGTGAATCAATTAAACCTTTCATGATAGTGAGATCGTTTCCCAAATTAATTATTTTTATTTTTGAAATTTACCAGTAGCTGCTGCATTTCCCACCCTCGGCTTATACTCGAGTCAATAAGTTTTCCCAGTTTTTTTGTGTAAAATTAGGTGCCTCGGCTTATATTCGGGTCGACTTATACTCGAGTATATACGGTAATATAGATTTGCTGTGCCTGAAAACTATGTCTATTATAGTCTTTACGAAGGCAATTGGAACTGGGGGTTTCTGTTGCTAAGCCATGTGGTTGTAAACCGTGACCACATCACTTAACAATGGAAATCTCTGCAGACCGAATTGCTGTTTTTAATAGTATGGTTGTTAAGTGAGGAAACTTCCTGCCAGCTCTCCACAACCAAAATCAGTAGGGGAGCTGCCAGGAAATTTTAAGCCACGGGCTGGCAGACTACCAGGTGCATGAGAGTTACATCAGGTCTAGCATGGGCTCTTGCTTGTGCTTCAGGCCTGTGATAATTTGAGACAAGGTCACGGAAGGAGGTCTAAACCCACTCTTATAAAAGAAAGATGAAACTTACAAAAGCAACCTGGCATATAGAGCACCAACCTCAGGTTAACATCAAGCATCTCTAACAGGGATGTTTTTGTGCTAGAAGGGCAATGCAACAGCTTTAGATAGTCCCAATTACCATCATTAATTGAGGACTACCTGTGTTGACTTTTGTTCTTACCACTGTAATTTGATAGATTCCCCATATTACAAGCCGCAGTTGTTGACAAACACAATTCCTTATCACCTAAAACACTCTTTGTGCGTCTTTGTATTGTAGCCATATTGCAGTATTATAACATGATGTTGCTCTGTAAAGGGCATTTTCTTCAAAAGATGCAAAACACTGAGTAAGTCTGGGACTCAGTGCAGAAAATGGATTTTTTGGGGAAAACACAATAGTTTCAAGGCAAACAAATCTGACTTAAATACCACACAACTTAAAAGGCTATTGGAGCTGAACGGTAACTGTAATGAAGAGAAAAATAAAGATTAAAAAAAAGAATATATTTTGTCATGACAGAACTGAAGAGACATTGTCACCCCAGTTCACTCTTGAAATTAATTAACGTCTTCCTGAGAAAAGCTAGTTGAGCATTAATAAGCCTCAAGAGAACTGATGAAGTCATGAACTATTTACTATAGGAAGAAAAACACATTCCTCGGTAAGCGCTAAACTCATCCTAACGTTCTCCTGAGGGATATCGTTGTCCGGGAGCTCGGCGGAGAAGCTCGGTAAGTCCTAAATACCCAGTCAGGGTCCAGGAGAAACGCGGGCCGCCGAGAGTGCGCTTTCAATCGGACCGCAGGCGGGCGCCGAGTCTCGAGAAGGTCCCGGGAGAAGGTCCCGGGTTCGGCCCGAAGAGAAAGGAGCCTGCGGAGGAATCGAGCTCGGAATCCCAGCGGCGTTTCGAGCAGCGGATTTCCCGAGTGGAGTTTGGGGAAACAGCCCCAGAGGGGAAAGGAAACAGCCCCAGAGGGGAAAGAGAAAGTGCCGGGAAACGATCGGGAAGGGCCGGCAGAATCATCTCCCCCAAGAGAAAGTGGGGACTGCAGGCGCGATCTTATCAGCGCCCCAAGAATCTGCCCCGGATGGCGGCGCCCGTGATCGGCGGGGCAAGAAGACGGTGAGGGAAACGGAAAAGTGAGGGAAACGGAAAAGAAGGGAAAAGTAAGAGAAGACAAAGATACTAAGATTCGTTCGGGGCACGGAGCGAGCGTTCTCACGCCCCGCGAAAGAGCGCAAACAGACAGCCCGGAGGCGCAAAGGCAAGCGGGCGAGGGCCATCTCATTCATCAAGGGAAAACAAAAACAAATAGTTTCCTGTGAGCTGTTCAATCTTTCCTTCACTCAGATACAAACCCTTGGATCATTGTGTTACAACTTCCTGTTTACAGAGTAATAGCGATCTGCTAGCGATAAATTCCTCCCATTCAGCTGCCAGTTAAACAATTAACCCGTTCCTTGCAGACTCTTAATACTACCTTATTACCTCAAATCTTACAACTTTTCTACCTCATCACCTATATCAACGATTAGATAATCAATTTCTATAAAATATTTTATTAATGGTTTAACTGATTTATTGTTTTTAATTGATTAGTGTGATTAGAGTGTTTAGTGCAAATAGTGTGATTACTGACTAGTTTAAAAGATCAAAATTCATGTAATTTAATTGAATAGCAAAATCATTGATCTAGTGAATTTAAATGAACAGTGTGATTAATGATTAGTGTAATTAATTGATTAGTGATTAGAGTAATTAATTGTTCAGGCTGATTGTTGCTCAGGAATATTATCTGACTTGAGAGACTACTGCAATTGATTGTTTGATGTAATATTGGCTATATAGATTACCCAAAATTGTTCCTTTAATTAATTCAATCAACGTACTATTTTAACAATCCTACCATGCCAAAAAGAAAATCCTACGTCAAACCACAACCTAAAGAGAAGATGATCCCCACCAATGAACCACAAGACTCCTGCACATGCCTTAAATGCTACAAAAATCTAAAGGATAATGAAAACTCCACCAAATGTTCTCTGTGTAAAAAATACACTCATCATGACTGCTTGGGATTACCTGAGCAGATGATTCAATACCTAAAATCATCCAATGAGTTTCCATATTTCTGCAAATCATGCAGACCCAAACTGGATCTGTCTGAAAGAGTTGATACCATCGAAACCATTGAAACATCCCCTACCATCGAAACCATTAAAACATCCCTCAACATCATAGTAGCATCCCTGGACGCCGTAAAAGAAAGAATATCCAACCTTGAAAAAAAAGACACAACGCTAAAACCTGAACATCCAATAGCTACAAACCACATCTCTACCAATCAACCACAATCCAATCCAAAACCCAATCCACAAATAAACACAACCCAGACAAATATTGATATCCCAATCCTCATCAGAGAAGCCGTTGAGCGTGAACGGAAACGTCCAAACGCCATCTTATTTGGTCTAGAAGACACCAATGTCAATGATGACATCACAACTGTCCGAAACATCATCAGAAATTATCAAGCATCAACCATCTCCGCTGATGAAATACTTGACATTTCCCGCATTGACCGAGAGCTCAAAAATAGAGACGGCTCTGTGGCCCCACGCTTGTGCAGGGTCATTTGCAAAAATGAATCAAGCAAACGTAAATTCATTTATACTATAAACTCACTCGCCAAAACCAACACCAACCATAAGAACCTCCGTTGCCGCCCTGACCTAACCATACAGCAACGTGCCCGCTCCCGTGTACTCCGCATCGAACTCAAAAAACGTCTAGACAATGGAGAGAAGGACCTGTACATTGACTACCATGCTGACTGTATCAAAAGTAAGCCACGCAACCCAATACTCAGCTTTTACCCTCAACCACAACCCTACCTCAACCCATCCACCATCACCCAAGACTAGGCACGCACGCCCCCAACTACCTCAATTCCAACTACTGCTGGCCTTAAATGCAAACTACTCAATGCAAGAAGCCTCGTGAATAAAATACCTGAATTTCTCTTCCTCCTAAATATGGCTAACTTCGACATTATATTTGTCTGTGAAACATGGCTCAATGCATCTCTCCCCGACTCCATTACCACAGTAAGAGACTATCATGTTTACAGATCAGATCGTGAAAATCGTCGAGGAGGTGGTGTTGCTATATTCCATAAAAAATCCTTACATCTAAAAAATATCCAAGTTACCCAGGAGCTTGCCCTTCCTGAAACCATCATCTGTGAACTATCCTCAAATATCACAATTCGATTCTTACTATGTTACAGAGCACCTGATTATGACATCGAACATGTAAACAAGCTAAATACATTACTAACATGGGCTGCATCCTGCCCATACCCTTTTATCCTTCTTGGTGATTTCAATCTACCTCATATTAACTGGACCCTAAATGATTGTACAACTGAAATCATACACACAACCTTCTACAATGCTATTACAAATCTGGGACTGGAACAACTAGTAATCAACAACACTAGACTAAACAACTGCCTCGATCTCATCTTCTGCAACAGTTTGAACCTAATTTACGGAATACAAACTAAAGAACCCTTTTCCAGTAGTGACCACAATATGATCGACTTTTGTCTCAACATACATCCACACAAAAATCACCACAATGATGTAATCCCCTATTGTAACTTCAAAAAAGGCAACTATGATCTTATAGACAACGATCTCTCATCCCTTGATTGGCAATCTCTATTCACTGGATGCAATACCGTTGAAGACCATTATAACATATTTTTACTTGAAGTCAAAAGAGTCATCAAACTATATGTTCCAACAACAACTCCCAAAACAAAACAAAAAAGCAGATTACCCATATCAATAAGGAAACTTCAATCCAAAAAGAGATCACTCTGGCGGAAAAACAAATCTGGTCACGTTGCCAATTTCAAAAACCGATACAAAAATTTATGCCACCAGATAAAGACTGAATGCACCAATTATCACATTAAACAAGAGGAAAACCTTCTAAGCACCAATTCCACCCGAGCTTTTTACAATTTTGTAAACAACAAACTAAAAGACTCAAGGTCCATGCCTCCCTTGATAGGACCTGATGGTAAAGACTGCAACGACGACACCATTAAAGCCAACATCTTTAACACATTCTTCGGCTCAGTATTTGTAAACAGCAATGGATCATGCCCAGTATTTCCTAGCCGTACCACAGATAACAACAATGATCTAATACATATCGATTTCATAGAAGACAATGTCGAAAAATCACTACGCAATCTAAAACCATCTCTATCTATTGGACCGGATGGTATATGTGCCTACTTCTTAAGAAAGCTATCCACTGCCATAGCCAAACCTCTAAGCATAATCTTTGAAAAATCTTTCAGGACCAGCTCCTTGCCTAACCTATGGTCACAAGCCACAGTCATCCCCATCTTCAAAAAGGGAGACCCAAGCCTAGTTGAAAATTACAGGCCAATCTCCTTATGCTGCGTCACCTGTAAAGTCATGGAATCAATTATTAACCAATCCATCATCCTCCACTTAGAGTCAAACAACCTACTCTCCAATAAACAATTTGGTTTCAGAAAAAAACTATCCTGTAATCTGCAACTCTTACACTGCAAAAACATATGGACGACACAACTCGACCAGGGCAAAGCAATTGACGCAATCTACATAGACTTCTGTAAAGCCTTTGATTCAGTGGTACACGACAAACTACTCCTAAAAATAAAATCCTATGGTATCTCTGGACAACTGAATAACTGAATAGAAGCATTCCTGTCAAACAGACAACAAATGGTCAAAATCGGGAGCGTTCTATCAAATCCAGTACCTGTCAATAGTGGTGTCCCCCAGGGCAGTGTTCTAGGACCAACTCTCTTCATACTCTACATAAACGACCTCTGTGATCATATTAAGAGCAATTGCGTTCTCTTCGCTGATGATGTAAAGCTGTTCAATACCACAGACAATACTGCTACCCTACAAAAAGATCTTGACTATGTATCAGAATGGTCAAACAAATGGCAACTTCAAATCTCAACAAATAAATGCTCTGTCTTACATATTGGCAAAAAAAATCAGAAAATAAAATACAAGCTGAATAGTCAAGATCTTGTTGATGACCCAAGCTCTGTAAAGGACCTTGGAATACTCACCTCTAATGATCTAAGTGCTAGAGCCCACTGCAACTACATAGCCAAAAAGGCATTAAGAGTTGTTAACCTAATCCTACGTAGTTTTTTCTCTGGTAATATCACACTACTAACCAGAGCATACAAAACATTTGCTGGACCAATACTCGAATACAGTTCATCAGTCTGGAACCCTCATTACGTATCTGATATTAGCACAATTGAGAAAGTCCAGAAATATTTCACAAGAAGAGTTCTCCACTCTTCTACTCGTTGTAGAATACCTTATGCCACCAGACTTGAAATTCTAAAACTAGAAAACCTTGAATTACGCCGTCTTCGGTCTGACCTAAGCATGGTATATAAAATCATACATTGCAATGTCCTACCTGTCAATGAATACTTCAATTTCAACCATAACAACACAAGAGCACACAATAGATACAAACTCAAAGTAAACCGCACCAAACTTGATTGCAGGAAATACGACTTCAGCAATAGAGTGGTCAATGTCTGGAATACTCTACCCGACTCTATAGTCTCTTCCCCAAACCCCAAAAACTTTAACCTTAGACTGTCTACTATTGACCTCACCCCTTTCCTAAGAGGTCTGTAGGGGGCGTGCATAAGTGCACCATCGTGCCTACCGTCCCTGTCCTATTGTTTCTCTTATTCTTTTATTTTTCTTATATGTACCCATTTCATGTATTCACAACTATGTATACACTTATACTTATTATCTTGTAAACAATTGGCAAATCAAATAAATAAATAAACATTTGCTGTAAGCAAAGATCGCAAAGAGACCAACATTTTGATTGTAAACTGCCTGGAATGAAGCTTTATAAGCAGGTACTTGCTAGTCATCATTCTCATTCATTTTGAGCCTCTGAATTATTTGCTTTTTCTTGTTTTCCACCCATCTAACAGAATACTTTTCCCCTGAATCTCATGAAGGATGTTGCTCCATTTTCCCCAAAGCTCACACCCAATTCTTCTGTTATCACTATTCACAGGAATATAACATGCAATCCCACAACTATATGCATTTTAGCCCTTTCATTTATAATTCAACCTACATCTTCATTTTCCAACAGGTATTCATGAATTTGACATTTATTTACATCCTTAACCTTTCTCAAAATTTGAGATACATGTCATATCAATTTTTTTAATTACTTTGATTCATGGTGCTTATCATTTACTATACTTTCCTTCAAATTCCCAATCTTTCAAACATCTATGACTGTCACTAGATGACAGCCATGTTAGCAATAAATTATAAGAAAATTAAAAAAACATGGACAGTAACATCAACACACAAATGCTGCTGTTTTGGATTTGCATACCAACACCATAGCATTTGACAGTATAGCAGAATTGGAAGTGACCACAAAAGTTATCTAAACCAAACTCCTTTTAAGCACAAGAGCTATAATACTAAAACATTTCGTATAGATGACCATTCAGCTTCAGTGTGGAAACTCCTAGCAGAGCAGCGTTCACTATGTTATATTGTAGCCTCTTCCACCAGTTGACAGCTGGCAGCTCATAGGAAGTTCCTCCTAATGTCTAACCTGAACCTTCTTCCTTGTACCTTAATTTATTAGTGTCGATTGTATTGAATGTAGACACACATCATAGTTTGCCATCCCTCCCATTCTGTTGCAGAATCTCATGCCACATGGGCCTTTATTTATCTCTGTTGCTTACCATGGCTGTGGGTAATCAAGATTATCATGTAACAATTTGGCGTAAGACAGAAAAAATGCATATTGCAAACTTTAGTTGTAGATATACCATTTGCCGCTTTTCCTGTTCAGTTTGGGTACATTTTGGACAATAAAACAGCCAAAGCCTAGTTACATCTCAAACCTGTTCATGATATTTTATCAAAATTAGGATCTGTAATACAGGAACCAGTTTACAAGCCAAAATATTATCACTTGTATTCTATCATCTATGACAGGGGTCTCAAACTCGTGTTGTCATGACGTCGTTACGTGATATATCGAGTCTTTTTTCCCCTTCGCTAAACCAGGCGGGGGCAGGACTAGCAGGTGACACATCTGGCCCATGGGCCGCAAGTTTGACACCCCTGATCTATGAGGTATATACAGTGTTTTGCTACACATTCAAGATATATCTGGGGATACATAGGTAGAAAATAAACTTTATTGACTGAATTTTAAAACATAAGATACACAACTTGATCATTGCTGTTGATTTAATGTAAACAATTTATAGAGATTAAATTAGTAGCAATTAATCTTGATAACCAAATAAGGCTGAATGCATTTATGAATTATATTTATGGAACTTCAGGAATTAATTGAATGCTAAATTGCAGGGACAAACATCAAGGAAACTTTTCTTCTTTTTAATACATCTGAAAAGTATCGGACTTCCGGTTTGAAGGGCTTCAGCGACATACAGGAATCGCGATTGTGCGCAGTTTCTATCTGGGCTCGCCACTGGAGCGCCCCAAGCCGGCTGGTTTCGGGGCTAAGCCACCCTGTAGAGGTGGTGAAGAGGGGGGAGACCCCCAGCAGGGTCGAGGAGAGCCACATCTCACCTCCTCAGCTGGCCATTACTCCCTTTCCCGAAGGCGGTAGAAGTGATGGTCAGAAATGGCCACCTGAAAGAAGAACTCAACCGGAAAAGAACGTGCAGGAGGAAGATAAGAAGTGAAAGTTTTGGCTGACCGGGTTAAGTTGAAAAAGCAACAACTAAGGTACCCTGGAATTTAAATTTTACAAAAAATAACATCGCTCCCAAAGAAGAGTCGGAAGCAGCGAAAGAAAGTGAAAAGGGAAAGGTTTGGCTTTTTTTTTCTTCTCTCTCCTTCCCTATATTGACAACTAAGAGACTTAAATAAGAAATCAGAAAAATCCGCTTTGGCATTAATTGCCAATTAAGCTGAAAATAAAACAAAATGCCAAAGGGACAATAAAGATTTCTGGACATTAAAAACTTTTTCTTCTATAAGCAGGAAGGGAGAGAAAAAGAATAAGAGCAGGATCTGGAAAAG